GGTACCAAGGTGGAGCAGTCTCAACGGTGACGTGGATGCAAGGCGCAGTGCAGAGGTTTCAATGTCTGCGCTGCTCTCTAGGTTGTGGTGCGTGAGCGATCCGTGATCGCGCAAGTTGTCCGATGAAGTTGCACTACCTATGTGTCCGGCTGCGCTTGATGCATGAGAGCTACCAGAAGCATCCTGCTTACTGTCTTGCGTATCCGTGCTTAGTGATGGGCTGGCGGCCGCTGAGTCGACGCAGCCATCCGTGGTGCGAACCATGAGGGAAAACGATCACTGGGAGAAATAAAGACGAAAAGCAGTATGTATTCAAACGGAGCTGAAGCTGACTCACGTGTGTCGCAACCGATCGAAGCCAGTGTGGTGTGTTTTGATGTGCAGTGTGGGTCCAGGCCCGACCACTGTAAGCAGGCTGTGAGTTCCTGTCCAGTTGATATGAATCTGTTGCTTATTCTTTTCTCTCGCTCGCTCCACTCGCTCAAGGAACAAAGGGGAAAGGGAAGAGAGTGACGGGGAAGGGCGGCATAAGCCATGCCGATCCCTTCACTAAAGATCCTCCGACCTACGAATGTCCGTTGGCTTTCTATTCTGAGAACCTTATAAATCAGAGCCATATCTTTGAACAAAGATATGCCTAACGAAGCGGCTTCATACACTGTACCGCTCTATTGCTTGCTAAGATATGGTAACACGTGCCTAAAGACTCTTGAAGCAAGGGTCACATCCTTTGGCAAGGATATGACTGACTGTGCACGCAGGATATGATACCCAGATGTACGGATACCATGACATATACGAGCCGGCCCCGGACTTGTTCAAAGTCCATGATCGACAATGGGAAGCGCCGCGGAGATCGGTTCCCGATCAGATAGACGGATGAAAAAAGAGCATATCAACGAACACACATCAGCGCACAACGTTTTCCACTCCTTGCTTCATAGACCACCTCCGAAGCTGAAACCTTCAAGGACGTGTCCTCCTTCTACGTCTCTCACTCGGGTGGGCGTGCTGTAGCACCTAACCCTAACCCTAACCCTCAACGGAAATCCGGGAATTTTTTCGTTCGCTTAGAACGGCCCTCTAGAACGGCCCTGTACATGTTATTTGTTGGTTGGTTGGTTGGTGTGTGGTGTGTGGTGTGTTCACACAGATCCCGACATCATCGAACCGACCCTTGGACTAACGGGGGACTAACGAGTGTAATTTCCGTTGAGGGAAGATATCAGGCAAGTCTCAGGCATGTGGCAGATATGTTACCTTATCCAGGCTAGGCATGTCAGGCATCCAAACAAGCATGAAGAGCATGCGATCTGGTGGTATCAGCCAAATGCCTGAAATTTTGCCCCGACACCGGACATTTTCGCCTGCGGCTGCTGGCTGCGTAATCCCTGAGGTACGCGGCCAAGGCAACTATACTCCGTCGGAGAAGTAGACGCAGCCAGCCCATTGTCCTGGCCATCGCGAAAGGGTGTTTGTGCCACATATCATACGAAAAGAAAGTCAGGCAACCGTCCCCACAGCTAATTACGCGGTCCCTACAGCTATTCTCACCGCAGTTCTCTACGATGGAAATCCGGATGGTGTGGCGGGCAGTCTGAAAATGGAGAAGAACGGGATGTGGAGTTGTGAAGTGGACGACAATCGTCTGCAGGGAACTAACGCAATGTGTGTGCTCCTTGTTGTTCGATACAAGCTTATGGGAGACTTGAGGAACAAATAATTCTCCCTCTTTTTTTATTTATTCCTCTCTTTTAAGATTCTGGACTATTCAGATAGATCTAGTCTACAGCTTATTTCCCGCAACGCGATATCTGCTGTAGATTGGCGTTGACGGGGCAGGCAATCCCAAAACACCTGCCTAGCCCCGCGCCCCAAGCACCCGCACCTTCTTCCTGTATGCTACGTCGACGGCTTGCTGTAGTACCTAACGACAATTTTTTTTCCGGAAAAGCCCTAAACGGCTGAACTTTCAAATGAAGAGCCATTCGAGTTGTGGTATGAGGTGTGAGCACGTGAGCACCACTCGTACTGCCGGCTGATTTTTTTGTTGCGGGTCCATACTTCGGTCCATGCCATCCACGCTGCGAGAGCTACAACAAGCTGCTGCCCGCATTAATAAACCAAGTGGGTCTTCAACAAGGGTCTTCAGGCTTCAAGAGATTGTCTACGCGTAACCCCGTGACATACATGTGTACACCGGTGCTGCTAATGACCAAATCTCACCCGCGAAATGGGATATTCCGCGTCCCAAGGCATCGATGTTTCCAATGAAACCCCAGGCACCCAACACGAAGGCTACCCAAAGAGGGAACTGAACATAGTCTCGCAACAAAATTGACTAAGATGCGCGGTGTTTCATCTCTCCATTTTTCAACGACGTCCTTCCCTTATAGACAGACCATCAGCCCGTGTCAACATACTCACACCAAGAAGGGGGCTCACTCACCTGCACGGTTATGTGGGACCTGCTGCAAATGTCGGAAAGGCGACAGGTGCTGTGAGAGATCCACGTCTAGAAGCGAAGGAAACGATTGATACTGATCCGTACTGGTACTGGGGTGGGATTCAGTCACACCGCACCCACCGCCCACCGCCCGAGCGGGTGCCTTGTAGCCCTCTCTTTGTCCCACTCGCTCATCGCGTTCTATCAACAGGTGTGTTCCTACATTGCGGTTTGAACCGGAGACGCAGACTAAGGCGGGCGAACCAATTGATTTGGGTTCTAACTGCGAGAACTGATATGTAGCGGCCGAGGTGGCAGCGCAGAGGTAGCCCACGAAAGGGGTAGAGACGTCTTGCGGTGCATTGAACGTGGGGTAAAGTTGAGATCTACCAAGAAACAAAAAAAAAAATCTCCGACGCCGAGCTCGTCACTTTCTGGCAAACGAACACTAACGAGGTGCACAATATTTGCCAGGCGATACACCTATACCTGAACTTTGCGTGCGGGCCGAGAACGCCATTTAGAAAAGGATTCGTGTGCGTGCAGTACTGCTGTATCACCCGGAACTGGTTTCAAACTTGAATTAAAGCTGAAATTGAAAATGTTTGGCACTCTTCTTTATTGTGCTGTGTCACAATGACCAAGGAACACAGGTTAAATTTCAAACCTGAACGTACGTAAAAGAACGGTCCTCGCCATCACTAACCCTCCCCCTCCTCAACCAACTTCCTCTTCTTACCACCCTTTTTCTCCTGTGGTACGCTAACACAAACATTCCCAGTAGACCAATCGTGGTAACTCCACTCAATCCGATGTTCCCTCGCGTAAGCAACTGCTTTACTCCCGGGCCTACTTTTCCCGTCGATCAAATTCAAATAAAATCCATCCAAAAAGTCCTTCTCCCCAGGATTCGCCGAGTGTAAAAATCGCTTGACGTTGTCGTGGAACGCAACTCTAACAGTCTTTTGATCATTCTTCAAACTACTCCAACGTCATCCGCTTGGGCTTCTTGCCCTTTTCCAACCTTTTCAGCTTACTTGCGTTCAAAACCAACTGATAATTTTTTGGCAAACGCACTCTTGCGATACTCAAGCTTGTCAGCGCGAACTCCCCCCTTCTTCCGACCACCCGACTTCGCACCGGTGTCCACCTTATTTTCATACAGGGCCGTCTTGGCCTCTTTCTCCGTTTTTCTTCAATCGCAATATTAGCTTTCCTGGTAGCCTTTCGCTCCTGCCTAACCAAGTCCTTCTCTTCATCATCCATCTCGACCACATCCAACTTTCTATATGCCCCGTCACCCATCACCGGTTTCCCACGTGCCAACGCCCCGGATTTGTCGAACTCAGCATCCTCGAAGGCAAAGAGACCCGAAAGACCTACTTCAACATCACTCAGTGACGCCACCTTTTTCTCAGAAGTCTTGACTCCCCCCCCCTCCCCGAGGCGACGAAGTGAGGGAAGGGCACCACTTAAATTAGTCAGGAAATCACACGAATTTGGCGTATTACCTTTGACTTTCGTATAAAACCGAATCCTCTGCTTATCACCGTGTCTCGCCAAAGCAAACAAATCCTTCACCGCCTGGTCATCGTGCGACAGCCCTGTCCTCACACAGTACATCGCCACCGCCGTCGCGTGATTACTGCGGATGATGTGAGTGCCAAAATGCGAAAGGCCCATTGTGCGCTGCCCCAACCATTTGTACATACCCGTCACTTGACTGGGTGTGAAGACACGACCTTTGTCGTCAAAGGGACCCAAATGGGGTGTAAGAGAATACGACTCGGCCACCCTCTCGAAGTCTTTCTCGGTACACCCCCCTTTCTTTCTGAGCTCTGCCAAGTCCTTTTCCGCCTCCTTCTCAAGAAGCCTTCGCATCACCTTCCTCCCAATGACTGCCATAACCGCATACGCCCCCTCACACTTCTCATGTTTTGTATGGTTCACAACTACTCCACATGTGGAATTCTCGAGTGCCTTCTTGTTTTTGAAGTAACGGGGAAGAAGACATCGGGTAATAGCAATGTCGTTGCCATGAACGTCCTTACACTTCATTCGGTACAAATCTTTTGCAAGCTGTCCCAAAATGTCTTGCTTTCGAAGGGCAGCGGTAAGCAGAGAATCCAACACCGTTAAAGAGCAACTTAGCAACGAAATATCCGATCTGGTAACCTTGTTTCCTTCTACCAGTTCATCGACGATCGCTTCAATCCTCAGTTTGAACTTCGGTGGACAAAGATGATCCTCGTTCTCGCGCTTGCGTGGGTTCATCTCAAGTACTTCATTGCACATCTTGACAATATCATCCTTGTTGGGTAACTTCTCCATGAACGAGTCTATCCCATTGCGAGACACGAGTTCTTCAAGTAAAAGAAACCCTAGCAGACATTCATCGCTTCCCACCAAGTGCGTCCTGCCTTTATTGAACTTCGCACCAAATGCGATCCTCTCGTTTTCATTCTCTATCACACTTTTTTCGGACCGCTTCTCTTGCGACACAGAATGATATCCCCCCTTGATTATGTCAAACACGTCCAAATCCGCTTTCCGCTTACTGTGCGAAGAAAACGCTTGACTGTACGCATCTCTGTGGCGAAGTGTTGGTGAAACATGATTCGAATGCTCCGTTGTCGGACACAGAGGAAGGTTATCAGCCCGGGAAAGATCCAGAAGCCTGTACAACGGATACCTCATCAGAAACTGGCAGGTCGAAGATCCCCCGTCACCAAACTCTTCTGAATCCTTCACCCGTGCCCTCGCCAAGACACACCTCATCCCCAGGCCAAAAGACGTCGGCTCACCGGGTTGATACAACTGAGTGTCTTGTTCCTTCAATGTTTTGGCCTGGACTCCGGGAGGAAGCTCGTTCACCGAAAGATGGATCATGGACGACGCCATGTTGGTGGGTCGACCCAGCCGAAAGGACGCCTGCGCCCCCCTCACAAAGTGGTTGACGAAAGCTAGATGCTTGTCTTGGAAACCTTCCGTGCTTCTCACGAGACCCGTGAAGTGAGCTCTGGCGTCGTTGATCAATCCCATCATTTCGAAGCACGATGATTCTTCCATCTCCACCCGCAAGCCTTTGTCCACAGAGGAGTCCAAGAACGTGACTTCATTGTCCATGAGCATGTCCACCGCACGAGCTTTCTTCGTCTCCTCCCAGGCGTGATTCCGGCCTTTTATTATATCAACTTTTATATCCCGGGACAGGGGGCGTGTCTCACTTGACACTGACACAGTCTCCAACTTGGTGTTCTTGGTAATGAATCGGTAAACCTGGACGTTGACAACACACAAGGTTGCAAGTAGAAACACCCCCATTTTCTCCTTCGCCTCCTCAAGTGTCGCCACGCCCTGGTTATCATCGCGAGTACGAAGCACGTCCTCCGTAGAATATGCGCTGCGTCTGTTGCTCTTGCCTTCCGACCACTCGACGGTGAACACGGTGTATCCTTCATCCATCTTTGCCTCCACGACCTCTCCCCGCCTACCCTTGTCTGATGTAACCTTGGTCCCCGGAATCGTCTCACCGGTTGGCCCGGCTCGACGCACGGTGATACCGTACAGGGCGTAGTTCTCCTTTTCGCACTTCCGCCAGATCTCTTCTCTTACGGGACTGCCCTTGGCCAAGCAGCTTGCTGCTTCCGTGAGGTCGAGGAGGGTGAGGTTCCTTACCTCCTTGATTCTCTTGTTTTCTCCTGCAAGTTTCCGTTCCATCTCGCGGGCTTTGCGGTATAGACTTAACATAAGTTTCGCCTGCTGGTCGTCTTTAGGCACCATCAACAACTCTCTCGGGCTAGAAGTTCTTGGAATGCAATTATCTTTCTTCCCCGCAGATCGACGACGTCGCTTGGAGTTTCCAGAGACGCTACCACTTTCTGTGTCGGTGTACTCATCCGGTCCATCGGTGACCCCCCCAGTCGAAAAATCACCAACACCATCATCGTCCGCTCGCTGACACCTAGAACACGTTCGCTGTGGTTCGGTGAAAAAACAAGGAAAAACAAAACAGGAAAAAACAAGCTTGGTCGGGGTTTTCTTTGAAGCTTTTGTGCGCATATAGTTTGGTTTCGGCCCTCACCTGCTCATTACTACCACGAGTTCAGCTCACCTCTTTGTCAGAAGACAAGTCGTTCTCGCAGTCCTGACAATACTGCGCATTGTACGTGGGGCACTCCACCAGTTCACAATAGAAGTCTTCTTCGCACCCCTCGCAGCGAGTTTCCCCGCCGGTGGAGGAACACTCGTCGCTGGTGGTATCTTCGTCGTTGTCTCCATCGGTGTCGCCGGCCTCGCTGGGAGCATACCCGGAGTCCTCTAAATCGGAGTTTTTATCACCCGCTGACGCCACACCACCCGCTCCCCCACCAGCACCACGAGGTCCTTTACCGGAGTCTTCATCGGAGTCCTCTTCATCTTCTTCAGACTCTTTGCCATCGCTGACTCCATCCAGAGACGCGGCATCATCTGCATCCCCGGAGTCTTCACTATCTTCACCATCCTCCTCGGACTCTCTCGCGCTGTCGTTGCGCGCGTTTGGGGCAGGATCGGGTGCCCAACCGGGGGCAAATACCCCCCCTGCTGGACGCCTGTCCCTTTTTGGCCTCCCCTGTGTCTGCGAGAAAGGATAAGGATGGGACGACGGGGATGGAACGACCAAGCAAGCATTCGGAGAAATTAAGTGTCTTGTTTGACTTGCCGTTTTGTCGCGTGATGAAAATACAAATCAACTGGTACACGCACACACCTGTTGTTGGTCACCCGACTTCGCTCCTCCCCGCAGAAACGCCAGCACCATTCCGAAGATGCGTGCAGAATCATCGTCCATCACAAGAAGCTCGCCTTCACTCCTCCTCTGACCACGTGCCCAGAAACCTCTTCCGTTGCGACGACTCCTTGCAGGACGGAAGCGTCTCCCTCCTGCAAATCTGCATTTCAGAATCCTGCCGATCCCCGCGATCCCCGTGCGACCAGTCTTGCGACGACGAGCTGCACGCCGCCGACGAGAGCTGCACTTGTTGTTGTTGGCAGAGTTGCTGCCGTTGTTGCTGACCGACGCGAATGCCTCGCCGATGCGAAGGAGTACGGTGGTAGAGGTCACGGCTGCCTGAAACACCAGGAAAAGAGCGGCCCCAACGGCGAGCAGAAGCGGCAGAAAGAAAGCCAGCATCCAGGGGGAAATCGTGGTTCCTTCGTGTACGACGATAGTCTGCTGCACCTCCTCTCCAGCCTCGGCCTCAGCCTCCTCGTCCTCGTCAACCTCGTCTGCGGCTTCATCTTCGCCCACCTCGTCCACAGCCTCGTCCACCTCCGCTGCTTCGTTCTCATCGGTTTCGTCATCGTGGTCTAGGAACAAAGGCTGGCATTTGTTCGGACTGGTGAGGTCGTACAAACCCGAGGCCTGTGTTCACGAAAAGCATTGGGTTTTCAGGTTGGTATTTCAGGTTGGGTTTTCAGGTTGGGTTTTCAGGTTGGTATTTCAGGTTGGTATTTCAGGTTGGGTTTTCAGGTTGGGTTTTCAGGTTGGGTTTTCAGGTTGGTATTTCAGGTTGGGTTTTCAGGTTGGGTTTTCAGGTTGGTATTTCAGGTGGGTATTTCAGGTTGGGTTTTCAGGTTGGGTTTTCAGGTTGGGTTTTCAGGTTGGTATTTCAGGTTGGGCTTTCAGGTTGGGTTTTCAGGTTGGGTTTTCAGGTTGGGTTTTCAGGTTTGGTTTTCAGGTTGGTATTTCAGGTTGGTATTTCAGGTTGGGGTATCAGGGACTCACTTCGTCGAAGGCCAAGGTTGTCTCCAACCCCATTCGCCGACCTTCCTTGCCGACGAGAGTCCACCCGTCTTCGCCAACTATGGTGCAACCCGAGTAGTAGTTGGCGTCGTCATCCCAATACTCGTTGTCGTCCCATGGGTGGCTCCTCTTGCTGGACACACGGGTAGCCGCTTTTACCTCTTCTCCCTATTTTTCAATCAACGAAATGAGACCATGGATTTGTATGTTCAGTGCTATGGCTGCTGTCTGTCAACAACGATGCGGTGGTTCGGACCACTAGACGACTATTTTTTATGGAGAATTTTACACAAGGAGAATTAACGAACAAGGCGCACCTCAGCATCTTCGCCAAACGCTCCACGTGCCCCCAGGTCACTGTCGCCCCCACCGGAATCAGACGATTGGGCGCTCGGCATCGATCCACCATCAGACGCCTCCGTGCCGGCTACATCTACCGCGACAGCCGATTCAGTGACCTCGTCGGTGCCGTCCGAAGTCTCCAAATCCGACGTCCCCGGAACGGCCTCCTCCTCATCGGTGCCGTCCACGAAACTCTCTTCGAGAAGCAAATGGTACTCTTGATTTATCTGGAACTCCTGAAGGGGGGGTGGCAAAACAAACCATGCGTTGGCCAAACGTGAGCAGTGTGAACTTCAAATATGTTTTTAAATTCAAATCAAAAATATCACGGATCATATCATGTACGCGCACACATACAATTAAAAACAGACGAAACTTACCTGGCATTCTTCGAAGTGGAATCAGGGCCTTGAAGTGCCCGTAGCCGTCGTGCAGCATCGTGGGGCACTCTTCGGAGGAGATGGGGCCCCCGGCATCACATGAGACCAAGTGGCCGTCTTCGTGCTTGACTATCCTAAATCCGTGCAACCCGAGGAACTTCGCCAACAGCCACACCGCCCTTCCGTCGAGATATCCAGTTGGATGAAGTGTCACCAGCTCCCACATCGCCCTCGTCGCAATCACCCACATCGGGTCGTGGACGATGTCGTCGAAGCTAGCCAGCTCTTCACCGTCCTTGAAGGCGAACTGGTCGCCGCACGTGCTGACGATGTTGGCTCGGAGGGACTGGACGTACTCCGTCATGACGTCTGTGAGCTCGCCGCTGACGGCTTCGAAAATCTCCTCACAAGGAGTTCCTACGTCGTCCATCGCCACAGCGATGACGCCGAGAAGAGCACACAGACCGCCGCCACCGACGTCCAGCGCCATGTACTGCGCCCCCTTAGTCGTGAAGTACACGCGGCTGTTGTCGCAAAGCTTCGGGGTCGCCGGGACGTTCTTCATGTTTTTTGCAGAGCTGCCTCCCCCCCTTCTTGCTCATCATCTGCTTCTTGTTTTTGCCACGCTGCCTCCCCCTTTTCCTGCCCATGTTTTACCTGGTGAGACATGGATGGGTTAAATTCAACGTGTATGAGTGCAATGTGGGTGTCACAAAGTTTGTGTGTCTGAGTGTTGGTATGGAAAGAGGTGGTGGGATATGATGTGTTAGATGGGTGGCGTGAAGATTGATTTAGCCAGCTTTAAACTTTGAGGTTGGGTTTTTAGGTAACAGGTGCCCCGTGACTGCTTTCCAGGGAGTAGGTGGGGTGGTCGAGGGGTCGAGTGTGGGCGGTGGCAGTTGCAAGTGATTTGCTGATGAGTTGGATGGCTGCTGCGAGGATTTGGTGTCAGGGAAAGGCAGTATTATTAGTTTGAGGTCGGGTTTTCAGGTTGGGTTATGGGGAAAACCCAACCTAAAAAACCCAACCTCAAAATCATTCTTCACCACTAAAAGTGGCCCGAAACGCCACCAGATGGCCGAAAATTCAGATTCTTTATGCGGTAGATGTTGGCAAGGGGCTTTACTTGAGTTTAGTGTAGGAATCATACATTTTCGTTTATCTTGTAGGTCATTCACGGGACTGTCACGTGAGTGGCAGAGATTGATTTAGACCAAATCGGCCACCGAGGTTGTGAGAAAAAAAAAATAGTGGTCAGTCCGCTGGCGTTTTTTGTCGTTTACGGCGTGATCTTGAGGTCTTACAGTCGTGAAGTATTTCTCGTGACAGCACAATGAGTAGATATCGTTCTGGCAGCAAGATCGCTATTTGTGCATACTTGAGTAAGCAGTGGAACAGTCTGGACCAACACAAGATAGAGAACAACGTGGATATGATACTGCTGTGTGGTATTTGTAAAGATTCAGCAAGAATTCTACTTCACGAACTAGTGTAGGTTTTAAAAGAACTCCTTGGGGTCTTTACCAGAAAAAGCATTCCAGCAGTCACACGTGCTCCAATGCAAACACGGTTCAAATCAGGATTTCACTCGAACAAATTAAACATCATGTAGTTAATACAGACAACTGTTGTCTGTTTATGGTATATACACTGCACGCTATGCGGCTATCATACTCTCAACGTACTCTACATGTCGGAAAACATTGTCATTGTTCAGAGTAATCAACTAGACAAATGGAGTTGCCGCGCTCGCTGCTGCTAATTGATATTGGTGAATTGATTCATGGGCATTTTTTTCGTGATGGTCAACAATCGACTCGTTCAACTATGCATAGGGACTCACAAACAATGGCATTTCTGCGATATGTAGACATCGGGCTCTGCAGTGGGCTGCGACATCGTACTTGGAGATGTTGACGGTACCCCTTGGTGTCCGTTGACTCCCCGACACAGTGGACTGAGGGGTCTGGCCTCTCCTTTCACACCCGTAGGAGGCCGCCCTAGGGGGTCAACTGGTCTATGGATGCAACATTGATTGAGGCTTTCCTCTGTCCATTGGCCGTAGCCTTACACCCGCGATAAGACGCCACATGCAGTAGAACACCCCCTTGATACGGAAAGACGATGAGACAGTTTGCAGAATAGTGGCCTCGGCATACTCTCGCATTTGATTTCACTGACGGCACAAGAATGCCTGCTACCGCAATATCCACACAGAAACTTGGCGTCATACCGTCACACTGGATGTGTGTGATACATGTGTGTCCGGGAGCTCGGAAAAGCACACCCACTGCTGTAAGAAAGATCAAGCAACACGCATTTTAGGCACTTGTTTAATAAGCAAACACAAGCTCGCTGGAGCAACTTGATTTCGTTAAAACACGCTTTACTTACCCCCCTTGAAGCGAGAATTGGCACTCATAAGCACACCAGATACGACACACCAAAAAGCAGCTTCGACAAACAAGCAGCTGACCCCCCAGGCATGGCCTCCCCGGGATGCAAGGGAGGAAGCCGCACCCGCAAGCCCCCATGGGGAAGGTAAAAGGAAAGACAAGACAGGAGTATTATATCATGTCCGGAAGTCAACGGAGACCCGGCCGAAGTACAAGGGGTACCCTCAACAGTTCTCGGAACTATATCCAAGCCACAGCAGAGCTCGGTCTACATTTTTGGTGCTCCGCAAGTAGCAACTCTTTCGAACGCATCCACAATGCGGCGCAGCTAAATTTGCGGCGCAACTAGTACGAGAAAACGCGAGACGAAGTACTTACTCGATTGAAAACAGCCGTTGATACGGATATGCATGGCCCCCACGACATGGGCGCGCCTTTTCGCTTGCACATCAAGTGGGGCGGATGTCCAACAGCAATAGCCTAAGACATAGGCAGAGAGTTATCGTCTGTGTATGGTAAACACCACGCTATGTTTCCGAAAACGTGGCTGGTGATGTCAGGAAGTAGCAGGCAGGATCACACGCGACCACAAAACAAACCCTTGCCAGCCTCACACATTTTATCTGAACCATAGTTTGAAACGCCGCGCTCGCTCTTGAGATTAAGGAATTGAGTCGGGTATTTTCGACGTAACTGCCCACTCTGTCATCATTTGACGGTGGATACGGACTCGCAAAAATCGATATTGCGTTGAGAATTTTTGTACACATGCCCACGACCGATCCCTAGGCGCGGTATCCCCCAGGGTGTAAAGAGTAATGGCCGGTTTCAACGTTAAAAATTTGCACCTAAATTGAGGACCCAAATTGGATGGACCTAATTGGGTTTTTGGCCAAAAAGGGCTTGCGTCATTATAACGCAATTCTTCAAGTTCAGCAACACCCAAATGCGGCGGAATCGCTGCCGCGAGGTGACATGGTGACCCAACCAGGTAGAGCGACAGACCATGTGCACCATACGGGAGCTGTATAAATATATCAGAACACACACGAAGCTAAGCATCAGCAGGCGGTGCCAGCGATCCAAGCCTCACCCTCAGGCTTGCTCTACAGCTTTTGTTTGGACTGACTCGCTGCACACAGACGGCCGTTGACTTTTGACATCGCACCTATTGGAAAGCAATTTCCACAGCTACACAACCAGCGCGAAAAGTTGGCGCGCTCACAGATTCATTGCAAAACAACTATTCCCTACAGCGGGAAGTGGGCGATGCGTGTGGGTGTCGCACGGCCAGTATGCCACATGCAGTCCCGTCAGGGGTAACGCCAGCACGAGTTCAGCTCATCACGGGGGGTGCAAAAGGGGCGCCGTGCAACTCGGGTACTTACTTCTATTCAGCAAACAATTGAATTTGCAATTTTTTTTCGCTGCACCCAATATCGAAGTCCCGCTTTTCCGGGCAGAGAAAGCCTCATCGTGTTTTTTCCTGTTGACCAATCGGCGTCTCCGGCACCCCCCCGAAACCTATTTTTGTGCAGGGCCTCAATTTAGGTGCAAAAATTTAACGTTAAAACAGTCCCTAAGGTTGACTCTTATGGCAACCGAAAGTTGGCCCGACGGATTTTTTTGGACTGGCATACCCCCCCCCCCCCCCCCCCCCCCAAATTCA